TTTAAATCCAAAATATTTTCACAACACCATGTTTGAAAAGCATTTAGCTCAGATTGTAAGTCTGAACTGCTAGAAATTTCCTTATATTGCAGGCATATCTGCGTACATAAGGACACGCGACTTTGTCAAGACTAGAGGGAGATCGTTTATAAATAAAGTAAAAAGAAGTGGGCCAAGGTGGCTTCCTTGTGGGACGCCTGAAGTAACTCGGATCAAATCAGAGATCGAGTTTTTAAAGAGGACTCGTTGAGTCCTACCACACAGATAACTTGAGATCCATGTTAGAAGATCACATGGAAACCCTAATAAGTCTAGCTTTATTACAAGAAGCGAGTGATTTACTGAATCAAACGCTTTACTAAAATCAGTGTAAACTACGTCAGTCTGCATGTTCTTTCTAAAGCCATTTATTACAAAAGACGTTAGCTCCAAGAGGTTTGTCGTCGTAGATCTTCGCCTTATAAATCCATGTTGACATGGAGATATAATCGATCTACAAAGATGTTGCAAATGGGGTGTAATAAAGTTTTCGAAAAGCTTTGGGATGGCGGATAATTTGGATATGCCTCTGTAATTACTTGTATTGCATGTATTTCCTTTCTTATGAAGGGGAATGACAAATGACTTCTTCCAAATAAGTGGGAAATGAGATGTTTTTAAAGACAAGGTAAACAATTTGTACAGAGGTCTACACAGAGTTTCAGCACAGTATTTAAGCACGCAGCCTGGAGCTCCGTCCGGACCCGGTGAATAGACTGGCTTAACTTTATGGAGATCCAAAAGAAGGGAGCTTTCGCTTAACCTCGGACAAAAAATCAAGTTCGACTTGGGTATGGCATTTTAATAAGATGGATTTGGACGGGGTGAAACAGAATATGTTGTCTGGAAAAACTGGGCAAATAGATCGACAATTGCCTGATCAGGCTGATTTACGCTTAGTGTTAACAAAATTATAAAACTGTTTTGGATCTTGTGAAAATTGGACCCTACAACGATTCAGATAGCTTTTAGAACACCGGGCGTTAAGCAAGGTAAAATCGGAGGAAGGCAAATTGTGAACCGCACATTTTAAATTTATTGAAAAGTCTGGACTTAACATTTTTTAGGTAAGAAAACTCCTTATTAAACCATGGAGGCTTATTTTAAATTGACGGATAGTATAGCGGAACACACAGATAAAAGAAGGTGTTCAATGCATTATAAAAAATATTAACGGCCTCAGCGATGTTAGTGCATGAATAAAATTCGGACCAGTCATAGCCTGATATAAAAGTATTTAAACGATGAAAGTTTGCAGCGGATTCGTTTAACCGACTTTTCGGATTTTTTATTCAGCTCTGTTCTCGCATCTACACTCAGCTCTAGAGTTGGATGATAAGGATCTTCTGGTTATGTAAGTGATGTTCTTAATAGACAAACGCCTTCTGAATTTGAAACAAAACACAAGTCCAGTAAACGTCCTAAGGAGTTTTTAACATGGTTTACTTGGGATACTGCAATGTTAAGCAATAAAGTCATGCTGCGCTAAAGGAAGTAAAATATTAGAGTTTTCGTCTGGGGACCATGTCGTACTAGGCATATTAAAATCACCTAATACCACTAACTGATCTCGATCTGACAGCTTTTTGGAAATGGACTGAATAACGGAAAGGTGATTTGCGTATAAGGGAACTCAGATGATGGTGGGATACATGAACAAGTAATATATACAAAACTACCGGGAAACGATAATTTTATACCTAGGAATTCGATGTCATTAAATTCTTTGAAAGTTAGTAATTCAGACAAAAGGGTTAATTCGACAGCAATCAGGACTCAACCCTTTCGTCTGAATTATTAACTTTCGAAGAATTTAATGACATCGAATTCCCACCTCCCCGCTGCAGATCCAATAAAAGTATTTAAAATATGAAAGTTTGCCTTACGAAAGCAGCGGATTCGTTTAACCGACTTTTCGGATTTTTTATTCAGCTCTGTTCTTGCGTCTACAGTCAGCTCTATAGTTGGATGATAAGGATCTTCCGGTTGTGTAAGTGGTGACGTTCTTGATAGGCAAACGCCTTCTGAATTTCAAACAAAACACAAGTCCAGTAAACGTCCTAAGGAGTTCTTAACATGGTTCACTTGGGATAGCGCAATGTCAAGCAAGCCGTCAATAAAGTCATGCTGCGCTAAAGGAAGTAAAATGTTAGAGTTTTCGTCAGGGGACCATGTCGCACTAGGTATATTAAAATCACCCAATACTATTAACTGATCTCGATCTGACAGTTTTTTGGAAATGGACTGAATAACGGAAAGGTGATTTGCGTAAATAGGGAACTCAGATGATGGTGGCATGTATGAACAAGTAATATATACAAAACTACCGGGAAACGATAATTTTATACCTAGGAATTCGATGTCATAAAATTCTTCGAAAGTTAGTAATTCAGACGAAAAGGTGGAGTCGACAGCAATCAGGACTCCCCCTCCCCGTCTGGACTGACGATCAAGCCTATAAATTGTGTACTTACCCGGGAGAATTTCGGAGCTTAGAATATCCGGCCTTAACCAGGTCTCTGTACATACTATAATATTATATGGGAAAGAAAAACTATCCGAATACAATTTAGTCATCTTACTAAGTAGGCCTCTTGTATTCTGATAGGAGAGAAGAAAAGAGGAGGCTAGTTTTTGGGACAGAAGAGGATGTGGAGGGCGATGGGGATGGTTCTTTAATGGTATTTTCCGTTTTCCCTGAACTATTCTTTTTTCTCTTAGCTCCGTACTCTTTTACAATTATGCCGTCGGGCCAGAAACTGGCGGAACACACAGATGCAAAAAGAGCACAAGGAATACCAATCTTAAATGATGATACTTTCCTAGCATACGAAAATTTAAATTGTTCGACCTTCAACTCATCAACTTGGATTTTGTTACGGATATAAGCCGTAATATCCAGTGATGAGAGGTCTGGGGCGAGCCGTGAAACAAATACATGTTTTAGCTGGGGCTCCCGAACACAATTAACAACACATGCAACCCTTTTTGGTACTACAGAATTTGTATCTGTACTACCAGTATCGGCCAGTAATCCGGACGTTAAGTCTACATGAGGTGTTGGGGCCACTACTTTATTTTGATCGGACAGAGCGGAAGTACCTAGCGGAGCCACATCGATTCCAGCAACTTCGGGTACCGAATCACTTTTTCGCCCCCGATCTTAGTACCATTTGAGTGGCGCCTAAGATTGGCAGCTAAGCTGGAATCGAATCGCGGGCAGCAGGTTGCACGGCACCTGCCATAGAATGCCCACAGACCGCGACTTTTTTGCGCGTTGAGGAATCGGGCTCAGCTAGCATGCGACTAGTGAGCTGCCAAGCGCCACGAGCAGATCCGTATTTTTACGGCAGTTCCGGATTAATTCCGTAACACTGCTTTTAGATATTGCCTGGTTCTCGTATACGATGCATTCATCGCAGTAGTAGCGTAGGCCACTCCTCTTATCGATGGCATCACGAACCAGGCCAGAATAGCCATGACACTTTGCGTGATTAATTTTTTCACATGTATGGCAGGGAATACATTGCTGTCCAGCCGAGATAATTTTCTTGCAATTTTTTAAAGAACAGAAAGCCATTATCACTGACCACGGAACACTGTGCGCTATAGCGGACAAAAAAATCCAAAGCGCTCAAAAACTTTTTAATAAGAGAACAAAGGGAGTGACAGAGCGAAACACGGAATAACTTTGATGTTAGACACCACGAAACGAGATAGAAACAAAAAGAGAGAGAGAGCGGGATTATTAACCGATTAACTCCGGTATAAAACACCTCTGAGAGATATTACCGTTGGAGTGCGTGCCGTTCCAACAGCGCTCAACGACGAAGAGAAAGACAATGGAAAACAATAACAACAAACCAGCACCGAATTAAATAATGATAAAAACTTTTTATTTACTAAACACAAGTTAATCACGATGCACTCGCGAAGCGAATGAAAAGTTGTTAGAAGACACTTAAAGGTGTAGAAACGTTAAAGAGATTTAAGTAAACCCCGGTGGTTTCAATAAGAAAAATGAAAATTCGGAGCGCAAAACAAAAGCACGACCGTTCTCTGTAAAGACGCATATTTCCTAATGTTAATTTACTTATATTTTGCGCTCTGGAGCGTCACAAATTTTTATCGATCTAGTTTAGTTAATTTTTTTAAACTAATTTGGATACTACCAATTTCTGCTACGGCACCTTTTTCTTCCCTAAAAACACGTACTACCACTCGCTGTTGCGATTCTTGTGCCCTAAAGGGTTTTTTGAGTCCTTGGAGTCCTTGTGTTCAAACTATACGCATTTCTAGTAAAGACAATTATTCTTTTATATCGTCAAGGTGCGAAGAATTCGCGGAGTATTAATTGCGGAGATTTTTATACCTTGCAGAGGGTATTATAATTTTAGTCAAAACGCAGTGAAGGAGACATTTCCGAGCCTATAAAGTATATATATTCTTGATCAGCATCACCAGGGAAGTCGATCTAGCCATATTCGTCTGTCCGTCTGTCTGTCCGTCCATCCGTCCGTCCGTTTCTACGCAAACTAGTTCCTCAGTTTTAAACCTATCTGCTTAAAACTTTTCCAAAAGTTGTCTTTCGATTGCAGGTAATATATAAGTCGGAATGAGCCGGGTCGGCCGACTATATCCTATTGCTGCCATATAACTGAACGATTGGAAATGCCATAACATTGGTGTTTGTAAAGTTAGGAAGTTAAGATTTTTTATGAGTATTAAGAAAGCATGAATAATTTTGGAGAATATAATTTACAGAATATTCTGCAAGGGTTTATAAACTTCGGCTCCGCCCGAAGTTAGCTTTCCTTTCTTGTTAAATTTGATCTGCATACCTACAAAAGTTTTAAATCGATCTTGAAGATTTTTTTACGGGCGTTCGTAACAGAAATTCCCTCCTCAGATGTCCTCTTTCCGTGATTTCCGTTTCCCCTGTCCCAATAAAAAGGCAGTGATTTGATAGAAGTATATAATTTAATATTTTGGGTTCTTTTCGCCATCGCTTGGGCGACTTTTCGGAATTTTTTATGTGTACTGTCGAGAACCCGTAACTTGCTCCTCCCTTGCTGTGTTCAAGACTCAAAGTTGGATTCGGGAACCCTTACTATGCTCATTAATTCTAACCTTTGCCGACCTTTGACTATGTTTTCTTTTTCCCAAAAAAAGCGGAAAGTGCGTTCTCTATTTTTGAGCAAAGTCAAGTGTGCGAGAATGACCAACCCCACGCTTGTTCAGCTTTATCAATATAAATAATACATAAGGTTATAAAAGATGTAAAGTGTATGTTCATAGCTATACAAAAATATTACTTGTTATGCTTTTTTTCCACCAAAAGGTTTTGCTTTGATTATAAACCATTAGTAGCTCCTAGTACTCATACCACGCATTAAAAAAAAATCGAAATAGTTTGTTATCTTAGGAGTCGTATTTTAACTTATTAGATGTTTAATAATCTATAAAAATCTCCAACATTATTAGGCAATTAATACAGCTAATTTAATTATCTCCTAACATCTTCCATACTTTATTAGGATTCTACAAGTTATTTTCAGAATTATTATATACAAAGAAAAACCTTTTTGGAAAACTCAGTAAACAAAAACATTTTCTTTTTTTAATAACTGGTCCATTATCAACACTGCGGACGAATTGTGTCAAAAGTGTACGTTAACTTAAAGACTCAATATAAAAAACAGTTACCACCAGAGTAAGCTACTCAAGTTATCGGTTGTTTTAAAACTTTTGGTAGATGCTACAAACGAAAAACAGCGTAAGTAATACATTACTTTTAGTGTTAAAAGAACCAGCTGTATTACAAAGATTTCCGCGGCAATAGCAATGTCTTTTTATTGATCCTCCCGAAAGATCGTTGATTATGGGTCTACATCCTTCATCATACACTTCTTGAACCAAATGTTCTTGTTCCCACTGCTTATTGCGAAAAATCTAAAAATAAGTTAGGGATTGTTATAATATTTCGTTTCCTTAAATTATCACACCTGTGTAGTATTTTTTTGTTGAGCGCATCCCCTGGTAATAGCTTCTTTTTCTTGTCCATTTTGTAGGTGTAGTATTGAAATAGATTTCAAACACATTGTTGAATATGGACACTGCACCATATAATTAGAAGACTCTTGAAACTTTGAGCATAGTGGTGTCGTCATCGTTTTATTGTCTACCACATATTTTTCTATAGATACGGAGCACTTATAACATTGTAACACATCAGCCAATGTGTGTTTGACTGAAATTAGAATATAAATATTATTTTGTTTTTTTTAGTCAGAGAAGGTAAATTTCTTTGCATTAACCATGTACAACAAAAAACCTTAATCTAACCGTTTTTATAGTAGGTATTTATGTGAAAAAATACAAAAATGTATCTAATAACCAAGAAAGTTTCTATACACTTTTCTCATACCTTTATACTCAATATAGACAAAAAAGGTTAAATGTACCACAGCGCAGAGACTAAGCGGGTGAGAGTGTGGGACTTTAATACATTCATATAGATTCCTACGAACTTAATATTTAATAATTGTTTTACCGCAGGGTGCTTCAATCACCTAGACATCTCACTGCACAATCCTATCGACATTTACCGCTAACCTTATTGGCGAGACGAGAGATGATGGTTGGTAGCCGAACATACAACATGTTGCAAAACGCAATCCCTTCGGGCATAAAATATAAAAACAACAAATTATTTACGTTTTCCCAATTTTACATTAAATGGATTGACAGATTAAACAAAATATATTATTTACGTTTTCCCACTTTTACATTAAATGAATTGAAAGATTAAACCAAATATTTTGTGAATTCTAAAGATAGCTTTGGTTCAAGTCTTAATACCCTTTCAGTTATAAAAATTTGTTCATTTATCTATTTAACCACAGCGTTCTATTTAGTTTAATAATTTAGTCATTCGTTTTTTAAAAAAAATTTTAAAATATATAATATTTAATAAATATGACTAACACAGAGGTATATCAAAATTTGATATCAGACATTTTTTTTAATTCGTTAGGACGTGATTTTCTTTGAAATCGAAATTGTTGGTTTAAGCCAAATACCATTACCAGGAGTCTTTCCCATAATTGATAGTGAAAAACCAATTTAGTAGAGCGTCACCATTTTTTCGAAGAGGTGTTCAAGACTGGCAGTGCCTAAGTGACAAAATTTTTGGATTACATTTTTTTTTAGATACTTTTAGTTGAAATAAACTTTTACGCATTCAAAAAAGGTTATAACGTCAATTATAAATTTATATTTGAATTGTTAGAAACAAGAAAGGAAGCCAACTTCGGCATGCCGAAATTTTATAAATTCCAGAACAACAAACAATAATTCAAAACAACAAAGTAATACTTTTTTTGAATTCTTTTTTCCGATTGTTCCTATGTGAGTTATATGATATAGTCGCCCGATCTGGCTCGTTCCCACTTATATACTACCTGCAATAGAAAGACAACTTTTGGGAAAGTTTCAAGCAGATAGCTTTAAAACTGAGGGACTAGTTTGCGTAGAAACGGACAGACGGACATGGCTAGATCGACTCTCCTGGTGATGCTGATCAAGAAAATGTCTCCTTCACTGCGTTACAAACTTTTGACTAAAATACTTTCCCAAAAGTTGTCTTTCTATTGCATGTAGTACAACTGTAGGCAAAAAATAAGGTGAATTTGTTTGTAAAGTGAAAATTCTTTATTTATTCTCCTGAATCAATTTCATCCCCCTCAAAGTAATCTCCTCCCGATAAAAAAAAATTATGCCAACGTTTTTTCAAATCCTCGAAACAGGCCATATAGTCCCTTTCCGATATAGCCATGAGCGCCCTCGTCGATTCCGCTTTTATCTCTTCAATCGACTCAAAACGCGTTTCGCGAAGTGGTCTCTTAAGTTTTGGGAATAGCCAGAAGTCACAAGGAGCCAAATCAGGAGAATACGGTGGTTGCGGAACGATATGCGTCGAATTCTTGGCGATTTGGTCACGAAGAACGAGTGCAGAAATTGAGCGTTTTCGGTACCAAACGAGATTTGACTTTTCGTAGGCCCAAATGGTCTTTCAAAATGGTTTTCACAGATCCTTCTGATATTCCGATCATATCAGTAAGGTCTCTAACAGTCAACCGACGATTTTTTAGCACTAATTCCTTCACTTCATTGACGAGTTGGTCATCTGTTGACGTCGATGGTCGTCCGGAGCACTCCAAGTCATCAACACGATCCCGACCCTCTTTGAAGACTTTGTACCACTTATAAACATTTTTCTGCGGCATGGTAGAATCACCAAAGGCCTTCCGCAACATCCTCAACGTTTCCGCAGCCGAAATTTCATTCCGTAAACAAAATTTGATGGCACTACTTCTCTGCTCAATTAAAGCAGACATTGTAAAAATCGATAAATGCACTCTTGATCGTTTGGTAAACACAAGCGTAAATATAGTACTGATACTGACATTAACTCAAGAAAAAAGAACTAGTCCGTCATCTTAAGCCCGCGAATTTTTAATTGAAAATTTACCTTACTTTTGGCTAGTAGTATATAAGTCGGAACGAGCGACTTTATCATATTGCTCCCATAGAAACAATAGAAATACAAATTTAAAAGAGTATAACATAATTTAAAAAATTTTTTTTGTTCTTCTTTGGGAACTGGTAATATTTAAATACTATGGAATTACGGTATTAATTAAATTAATATCGGACATCTATATCATATAGTTTCCATAGGACCAAAAAATTAAAAAAAATTAAAATTAAAAAATTTGTATTTGCTTTATTAATTTATGTTTAACCCCAACTTTCACTTAAACTTTAAGTTGTGATGATCGAATTAAACGATCAAATTCATTTTAAAACTTTCTTCAATATATACTGATTTTACTTGACCTTAAACAAATATATCGACGTGTTTAAAACCAAAGGAGTTTGGTCGATTTTCCTATTATTATCCTATTCATTTTTCGATCTTTCCTATAAGAGCCTTTTAACATAGTCGTCCGATTATTCTTCAAAAGTTAGGTCATTTTTTTCTTAACCTTATTATTTCCATTTTGTTCCCATTGTTTTATATGCGGACCATTCCGAAATATATACTACCTGCAATAGATAGAAGGTTTTTGGTATTTTTATTTAGATAGCTTTAAAAATGAGAGACTAGTTTGCATAGAAAAAAAAATGGCATGTAATATCATTTTTCGTCACAAATTGTTACATTAGAAATTAAGAGGTGTTTTTGTTTGATATTTTATAGGGTTAGAAATTTTGACTGAAATTGGAAGTTTTCATAAATTTACTTAATTGTCTCCTTCACTGCGTTGCAAACTTTTGATTAAAATTATAATATCTCTGAAAGGGTATAATAATTTGAATATAATTGGAAAGTTATGTGTTTTCAATTAATTTTATAATTTCAGTCATTACTTAAGGCGTACATGATTTTGAGTCCATCTAGGTGCAAATTCAACACAAAAACTTATGTTAAGACCAGTGTTTGAAAGATCTACTAGGTACCAACAATAGTTACTTTACAAATAATTTCCTATTGCTACGAGAGTAATTAAATACTACAAACCAAATGCATAAAATTACGTTTTAATTTATTATTAAATAAATATATTTTTAAATTATTGGCACACTTGGGTTTTAAATAACTATTTTGTTAAAATTTTATCCATTTGACCATTTTTTTTAAATTATATTATTTAATTGCCTCTATAATCTTAATGGAATGATGATTAATTTTATAGCTAAAATTGTTTTAGTGACTTAAAATAAAGGAAAAGTTGTTTGACTTTACAATGTAAAAATAAAATCAACCGCATGTGTCCAAAAATTAAAATTGAATAAGCAGGATTAATGCTAATCGAATGTCAACATTGGGGAAAGGATACACTGAAGCCATTTTTCCCATTCTGAGTTCTTTGCGACTTTTTAAAGGACCCACGCAGTTGCAAAATGCAGGGCACACTGGCCAATCCATGGCTTTGAGTGGCCAGGAAAGCGTAAGAATCGTATAAAGGGATAATGTCAACCCCCAGATCTTCTCAACACGTATCAAAGTTAATGATAAGAAGGACTTTGGTAAGGATATTCACCCAACAGCCTTTTTTCAGGCCCTGCATGATGGTTTCTACAAACGAATTGAACCTAGAAAAAATCAATAATTTTAAAAGTGAAAAACAACCTTTTAGTGCAGCGAAATATATATCCGAGTATGCCAATCGACTTTTGGGTCCTTTCAACCTTCTCGTATGATTTTATAATTCTTTCCCTAAGCTAAGAGCTTATGTCAGTACCCTTTTCAAGCCGATGTATTTTTTCAAGGATTTATGGGTTTTATATTTGGCCAATCAATCCGACCTACCAAATTTTATAAGGATCGACCGACTATATCCCATAGCTGGTATATAACTGATTGATCGGAAATGACTATAGCTTTGGTGTTTCTTAAGTTAAAACAAGAAAGGAAGCAAAATTCGGAAAACCGAAGTTATTACGAATCGACGACATTTCGATCTCTATGCCTATATTACTAAAAACCATGAAGCCATTTTGCGCTGCATTTTGTCATCGATTCTATGGCAGCCATATGATATTGTTGTCCGATTAAAATTTAATTTAAACCGTAATTCAATAATATTTAAATATAATATTAATATTTTGAATTTTTCCAATTGTTCCTATGGGAGCTACATATATCATATACAGTGGCTCACAGCTTATTTGACCCACACCTAATTTTCAACATTAAACAGGTATAACTCCTGAACCATAAGAGATACGCATAAAAATAAAACGCAGAAAGGTTAACTGTTGTTTTAACTTCAAAAATATGTTTTCATTTATTTATTCTAGCAAGGAACTTATTAATTAAACAATAGAATCTAAAAATAATGCCTTTTTCAATGTCACAGCTTATTTGACCCAGTTCATCAAATTAATTATAAAAAATTGCAAAAAAATATTTTTTTAACTTTTAGTATTTGGTATGTCCGCCCTTTTGGTCCACAACCGACTTCAGTCGATTGGGAATAGATTCGACCAATTTTTTTGAGGTTCCTGGGGTGATTTTAGCCCATTCTTTGAGCAAAGCCGTTTTCAAGTCATTTTTATTGGAAATATTGCGCTCCCGAATTTTTGACTCCCGCAAAGCCCACAAATTCTCAATAACATTAAAATCGGGTGACTGAGCTGGAGATTTCATTATATTGGGACAATTATATCCCAGCCAATATTGAACAATACCCTACTTATGCTTTGGGTCATTGTCTTGGTAGAACCGAAAACCCTGTTTTATTCCCAATTTCTCAGCACTTTAAAGTAAATTATCCTTAAGGATATTAAGATAAACATTTTTATTCATTATGCTTTCAATAAATTTTAGGTTTCCGACTCCTGCTGCGGACTTACAGGCCCAAACCATAACGTGTCCGCCGTCATGCTTAACGGTGGGTTTTAGATGTTTGTCCTGCAGCTCTGTATTGGCTTTACGCCATACATTTAGACCCAAAAATATTACGTAATTTTCGCTGATGAGTCAAAATTTAATATATTTGGTCCGAGGACGTTCTTAGCTATGGCGTAAAGCCAATACAGAGCTGCAGGACAAACATCTAAAACCCACCGTTAAGCATGACGGCGGACACGTTATGGTTTGGGCCTGTAAGTCCGCAGCAGGAGTCGGAAACCTAAAATTTATTGAAAGCATAATGAATAAAAATGTTTATCTTAATATCCTTAAGGATAATTTACTTTAAAGTGCTGAGAAATTGGGAATAAAACAGGGTTTTCGGTTCTACCAAGACAATGACCCAAAGCATAAGTAGGGTATTGTTCAATATTGGCTGGGATATAATTGTCCCAATATAATGAAATCTCCAGCTCAGTCACCCGATTTTAATGTTATTGAGAATTTGTGGGCTTTGCGGGAGTCAAAAATTCGGGAGCGCAATATTTCCAATAAAATGACTTGAAAACGGCTTTGCTCAAAGAATGGGCTAAAATCACCCCAGGAACCTCAAAAAATTGGTCGAATCTATTCCCAATCGACTGAAGTCGGTTGTGGACCCAAAAGGGCGGACATACCAAATACTAAAAGTTAAAAAAATTTTTTTGCAATTTTTTATAATTAATTTGATGAACTGGGTCAAATAAGCTGTGACATTGAAAAAGGCATTATTTTTAGATTCTATTGTTTAATTAATAAGTTCCTTGCTAGAATAAATAAATGAAAACATATTTTTGAAGTTAAAACAACAGTTAACCTTTCTGCGTTTTATTTTTATGCGTATCTCTTATGGTTCAGGAGTTATACCTGTTTAATGTTGAAAATTAGGTGTGGGTCAAATAAGCTGTGAGCCACTGTATGTAGTCGCCTGATCCGGCGCGTTCCTTATTATATACTGCCTGCAATAGAAAGACAACTTTTGGGCAAGTTTCAAGCAGATAGCTTTTAAACTAAGGGACTAGTTTGCGTAGAAACGGACGGACGGACGAACAGTCGGGCGGTAAGACGGACAAACGCACTGCGTAGCGAACTTATAAAAATTATAATGCCCTCTGCAAGGTTATAAAATATAGAAATTAACGCGTAACTATTGAAATGTTTCTCCGTTTTATAGCTTAGAAATACTTTTCTTCATTGTGTGGCCTACCAAAAACTTATCAATGGAAAAGAAATACAAACCCAGTATTACTGCAATGAATAATGAAAATACGCCGCTTCTTGATTTTTGATTGCTGTCCATATTTATACATGTGCGTATATTTACATAAACCTCTGGCTCGTCACTGTGCCATAAAATAAAAGAGAATCAAGTTAACTGCAATTAAAAAAAATGATTTTCTTTACTAATGCTGGAAATGTCAAAATATGTATGAATAAACATTTAATAAAAATATAAAAGAGTAAAAGAGAAAGTTTTGAAAAAATTCACCGTTTACGAAGACCAATTGTATGTATGCACTTACAAGTTTTCCTTGTCTCAATGCTTTTCAAATTAATAACTTAACTTATATTATGTGCACATATTCTTTTATTGTGAATCTATCAAATCAATTACAGAGAAAACTACAACAAATAAAGTAAAACTGACGTTAATCAATTTCCAAACATATATACATATGTATATATACAATTTCGGATAGTTGTCAAATTTGTGATTTAATATGTACTTCATCTTAGATCCAATCCAGATTTCTTTCCATATCTTATTTATGTACGTTTGCTTGGCTGTGCTTATAACGCAAATGTAGTAACTTGTAAAAAAAACAGACTGCTTTATTTTGTTTTTCGGACATCCCCCAGGACATTTGGTTAATCATAAAATTTATATTAAAACATACAGATTTAAAAAAAAAAATTCGGGTTTAATACATTTGTATCATATTAATAGTTTTAAAAAAGAAACACATAAAACCATATACTTTAGAAATAGAGGTGGAGAAACTTTCGATAAAAACACCAATGGATCGATGTTTTTTAATTTATTGTCACACTAACAACATAAAGGAAACGCAGAAAATTTGTGGATAAAAACACATATTATTAGATATTCAACTGATGTAGGAAACCTGAAAAACCTATTTGTATCAGTGACTTGACTCTCATTAAAAATCAAATCAAATCAAATTTTAAGAAAAATTTTTTTTGTAAACTACAAAAATTAAATCCAATAAAAATAATTTAACTTAGATAACTCAAGATTCAGACAAGCACAGCATAAACTCACCTTACTTGATCCCTATGCTAAACTTTTCTAAAAAAAAATAGTTTTGAAATAAACTCGTTTAACTGAAAACTTAACTCCAGAGAAACAAACCTTAATAGCCTTTTCATATTACCGAATTTTATGGTGGAACGATGGGAATCTGGTGGAAAATGAAACTGGGGTTCACACTCCCAACGCCTACTTGTCTAGTCTTTTTACTGTCAATGTCTTCATATATCAAGAGCTGACAGAAAATTATGAAGGTCCGTTTTAAATTAAGAAATCATTACAGATTAAATTCTAAATTCTTGGCTTTTTATTTTCATGTTTAAAATCTAACACTGATTAAAAAAGAATATTATGACCTCATTTTCTATTGCATCTAATAAAATAAAGTGTTTGGGAACGCTCCATTTTGTTCAGCTCGGGTCGGCTTCTGATGCTGCTTCCTATGTATTTCATTTATCTCGCTGCTAAGAGCAATTCTGAAAGAAACAGTCTTAAAATTGTACTACCTTGACAGGCTTTTTAGCATTGTACGAACTTCTGCCCAAAACACATTGTATTCAGCTCCGTCCAATCATGACCGTCATTTAATTAACATCACAATTTTTTCTTTGAGCTCCTTCAATGACTCAGCCCAGAGTTCAACAACCAAAGCCTCCTATTCCAGCAACCACGCTGTTCGGGACGATGTGCCTTTGACTAAAATGTGTGGAACAATATTTTTGTCATTGAATTTTCTATGACATTTTTCTCTAATGACATTTTTATAAAGTGTATATATTTTTCAGCAACACCAGGAGAGTTGTCCGTCCGTCCGTCCGCCTGTCCGTCCGCCTGTCCGTCCGTCCGTTTCTACGCAAAATAGTCCCTCCGTTTTAAAGCTATCTACTTGAAACTTTCCCAAAAGTTGTCTTTCTATTGCAGGTAGTATATGAGTCGGAACGAGCCGGATCGGGCGACTATATCATATAACTCCTATAGGAACAATCGGAAAAAAGGATTCAAAAAAATTGAGAGTATTTGAAGCTCTGATAAGGCTAAAGAGGGGACCGGCTAGGCTAAGGATTAAACATTAATCGAGTTAAGCAGAATGGTGGTCGGTGTAGAATTTGACTTGGCGATGGACCATAAGCCTCCTGTAGCTATATTTATGCTCACCTGCAGCCCGCTTCGAGAGGTGGCTTCTACGCCTACAATCGTGCCGTTTCCGCGTTGTGTATAACCCAGGAAAAGAAAACATCCCCGACTAATTGTCGAGACTGTCCCAGAAAACCGAGTCAAACTCATTCGCAGAAAGAGAAAAACATATTTCAAATTGTCTCAAATTTAATACCAGTTTCGTTATCAATCTCGGAGATAGCCGAGTACGAAGAGGAAATAATAGATGCAATGACGTACCTTTCTATCCGTTTCGTAATCTCCGTAATCTGCTACTAAGAGGAGCAACCTTGTGATCCCGAAAGATCGACAACGGAAAGTGTTGGAGTTAGCATTTGAGGGTCATCCAGGCTAGAATGCAATGAAGCGGTAGCCAAAAATGGATAGAGAAGTCGGAGCTGCATTTTGGTGTAAGCTCCGGTTCGTCCGGCCCCAATAAAGAGGCAATCGTTTCCAAATGTCCAATGGAAGTGTTTGGCAACCGATCGTTGGGCCCGCTACCTAACGGAGAATATATTTTGGTACTCATCGATTTTTACTCTCGATATATTTTACGTACAAAATATCAAGGAGAATCACATCAACGGTTATAATAACCTTTATTGGAGGAAGTTTTCGCAAGGCTAGGTATTCTCCAAACATTGACAGCGGAAAATGGTCTTCAGTTCAAAAGCGCAGAATTCAAAGAATTTTGTGCAACAAACGGTATTGAGTTGCTTACAACTCCTTCATATTGGCTACGAGCGAACGGCGAGGTGGAGAATATGAATAAATCGCTGGTTAAACGTTTCAAAATCGCATATGCGAGTAGAAGTAAAAACAAGAAGGAGTTTTAAAAGTTCGTTTTAATGTATTGTAACACCGCATAGTACAACGGGTGCAGCTCCAGGAACGTCAGTCACCTTAAGAAAGAAATCCGCTGCTGCGGCCAGAGCAATGCCAATCCCGAGAGGGGACTGATGGATCATCCCCAACAAAACCAATTGAAACCGGACGCCTCAGGGAAATCTCAAACTGCTCAAAAAAAAATTGGGAACCGGTGTCAGCTGAGCCTAATAATTCACCACGACGTATGTTGAGTTTAATTGTAGTCGAAGGGAAGCAACGAAAGTGAGCAGTCAACGACTGTGTAAAAAAATATATTAAACTAAAAAACACTTGTTATTAATGTTACACATTTTATTAGCCATTTTGCATCGACTACACTTCATGTAAACGCTTGCATTATTAACTTTAAAACAATTTTTTAAACGGCAGTAAAAAAGTGTCTTTTTAGCCCCTAGAGCCAACTACCCTTACCAAACGCAGCAGAACGGGTGCGATTTTTATGAGTTGAGAAACTCGCTGTCCCATCGTGTCACCATATACTGAGTCAAACTGTTTAATAAATACATTTTTCCGTTTTTTTTTTTTATAAAATCGTATAGGTCATGGTTTAAAGCTTTCCTGCACTTTTAAATATAGCTTATTATTCTGAATACAAATTAAGTCTGGTGGAGCCTTAGCCTCCCAAAACCACATCCCTTCAGAATATGTCTCTGACTTAAAGAAATTAAAATAGCTAAATTCAAAGTGATTGAGAGTGGAGAGCTCACCCAACTCTAAGCTCACCGAAAGTAACTGTGATGCCTATTAGAAATCCCACATGCGGCTGGGCACACAGCAATGCAGACAGAGACAGCACGTTTGCCAACCACCTAAAAAATGTCTTTCAACCAAAGCCTCAGCTTCAATATGAGCCAATTGAGTTTCGCCCAAACGAAATCGTTAACATCATCAAAAATCAGCTGAACTATCACCCAGCTTTTTAATGCCATCGCAAAACTTAGCTACTTTCCAGTGAGATGGAAAAAGTCGATTATAATAATGATAGCAAAGCCGGGAAAAGACCTATTTTCATGCTTATCTAAACTCTTTGAAAAATGCGTATTGACTCGGATAAACACATACCTGGAAGGAATTCCGTCACATCAATTTGGGTTTCGTGAAAAGCACGGAACGATTGAGCAGGTCAACCGGATAACATCAGAAATTCGGAACGCGTTCGAAAAACGAGAGTACTGTACTGCCATATTTTTAGATGTCTCTCAAGCATTTGATAGAGTTTGGCTAGAAGGTCTAATGTACACGATCAAGACAATGCTCCCCTACAACACCCATAAGCTTTTAGAGTCTAACCTCTACGACAGAAAATTTGCTGTGAGATGCAACACTGCTATAACTGACGATTTCACTATTGGAGCTGGAGTTCCTCAAGGTAGCGTGCTTGGGTCAACATTATATGTCCTCTACACAGCAGACATCCCAACAAGCACACGACTTACAACATCTACGTTTGCTGATGATACAGCTATTCTCAGCCGCTCAAAACGCCCGATGCAAGCAACTGCGCAGCTAGCTCTTCATCTGGTCGATGTTGAAAATTGGCTATCAGATTGGCGAATTAAAGTGAACGAACAAAAATGCAAGCACGTTACGTTCACCCTCAACAAGCAAAACTGCCCGGCATATTGAAGCCAAAATAACACACCTAAAGCTAAAAGCCAGTAGCCTTCATTGGCTTATCAACGCTCGGTCTCCCTTAGCCTTGAATATAAAGTTCTGGTGTATAACTCGGTACTAACGGTACTACGGCGCTCAGCTATGGGGAATGCCAGCAATAGCAATATTCACATAGTCCAGCGAGCTCAGGCGAAGATCTTGAGAACCGTGGTAAGTTCGCAACGAAAACATACATCGCGACTTAAACATTCTAGCAGTCAAAGAAGTGTTCGCAAAAAAGAGGGAAAAGTACTTTACCAAGCTTTCGTTGCACCCTAACCACCTGGCGAGAGGTCTTACAAGGTTGACGAACCAATCACGCCTTCGTCGCAATGACTTACCTACCCAGCGACCGACTTGAGGGACGCGCAACCAGAATGCAGTCTTATTATACTGTTAGTTAAATTTTAATGTTAGGATTCGTAAACTTATTGTAAGTCTCAAAATTAAGAGAAGATTCAATAAATAAAAGCAAAGTTAAAAACAAAAAAAAAGAAAAAAGATTACGATAATCGTAATACAATCGTTTCTGCCCTTTATTTTTCGCTTTGAGTACTATGAGCGTACTCTGAAGTACAGGTCTTGATAATCTTCTCTTCGGCCCACTCTTCAGCCGCCTGCGCAACTTCTATCTTCTGTTTCGTTTAAGGAATACGTCGTGGATGTTGAAATACTGGCTACTCGGTAAGTAAAATCTGTATCTCAGCCGGACAATGAATATTCTGATTCAGTTGTATTCATTTATCATGTGTTTCACGACACATCTCAACTCTAAATCC